GGAAGAGGAGCAGCCGGGACTAGAACCTGTGCCCATATGGGATGCTAGCACCGCAGGCAGAAGATTAACCTGTGCCATGGTGCTAGCCCCAATATATATTTATTTTTATTTTGTTTAAAAGGCAGAGATATAAACCAAAAGATACAGATCTTTCATCCACAGATTTACTCCCCAAATACCCACAACATCCAGAACTGGGCCAGGCCAAATCCAGGAGTCCAAAATTCCATCTAAGTCTCCCACATGGATGGCAGGGATGCAAGTACTTAAGCCATAAGCTGTTTTTCCCCAGGTTTTGCATAATCAGGAAGCTGGATCAAATACAGGAGTCAGGACTCAAATCATGCACTCTGATGTGAGATGCAGGCATCCCAAACAGCTTCTTAACCGCTGTTCTAACTACCTGCCTCAACTTCAGATAATTTTCTGTCCACTTTCTTAAGGGTATATCAGATACCACTTATGATTCCACCTTGCTTTCTCTTGGGTTACTTTTCTTTTTTAAAAAATATTTATTTATTCATTTGATAGAGTTACATAGAGAGAGGAGAGGGAGAGGGAGAGGGAGAGGGAGAGGGAGAGGGAGAGGGAGAGGGAGAGGGAGAGGGAGAGGGAGAGGGAGAGGGAGGTCTTCCATCGATGGTTCACTCCCCACTTGGCCGCAACGGCTAGAACTGCGCCTATCTGAAGCTAGGAGCCAGGAGCTTCTTCCAGGTCTCCTAGGAGGATGCAGGGGCCCAAGGACTTGGGCTATCTTCTACTGCAGAGAGCTGGATCAGAATGGAGCAGCTGGGTCTCGAACCGGCGCCCATATGGGATGCCGGCGCTTCAGACCAGGGCGTTAACCTGCAGCACCACAGCGCCGGCCCCTGTCCACTTTCTTAAGGTATATCAGACACCACTTATGGTTCCACCTTGCTTTCTCTTGGGTTACCTTTCAGTGTCACCTCCAGCCACAGCTGCAGCCCTCCGCTGCATGCAAACATGTGACGTCACCTATCTCCCTTGCACTGTGCATCTCTGAGTTTTGGTTTTGGTTTTCTCTGCGCAACATCTGTGGGGGGCTGCTAAGTCATTCTCGTGTGTGAAAACTTGGAAGTATGAGGAAATTAACATCCCGTAGAGCAACTCTCAACCGCGGGCATGGGAGCTAGAGGATACATACCTTTCTGTAGACATTCCTGAGGTGCATCTCGTATATGATGCCTATGAGACTCCCCAGAAAATAACCAGTTTCTGGTTGCCTACAACTCATTAATCTGCCCTCGAGTTAGCTGTGCAAATCCTTCTTGTTTGACTCTTTCCATTCTCCCACTTTTATTTTTGTGAGTTCCTAAATTAAATGATCCATAGGCATACCTTTATCTCAGGCTTTTGTTTTGAGAGGAAGCAAAATAAGACATGTTGTCTCCCACAAGTGGGAATTGTCTTTTGCAGGGGCACAAGCAAAATGAATTACCTAATACACCATTAGCAGAAGCAGAAAGTGAGAAAAATTATTCAATATGGGTGATATTACAGAATACCTACATGTTGATGGAAATAATCAGGCATCCAAGGGAAAAGTAATAAAGTAGGAGAGAAAAAAAATAAAGTTGGGATGGGGGAGGGGGAGAGAGAGAGAGAGAGTTGCATTGTGATGTCCTTGAATAAGCTCCCAGGTTTAACAATTAATAGTAATATCTGTTTTCCTTCCTCAACCAATTCTGCAGACATTGCTATTCTGTGAGTGGCACCATTGTTGCCCTAGGCAGAACAGTTCTCAATTCAGGAATGGCTCCTCTTGCTAACAAAACCCAGCCATCATATTAGCTTGATGTACTACCATAGTAAAGTACCCCAGACTGAATGGCTTGAACAATAGAAAATTGGGGTTCTACAACTCCGCAGCCTGGAAATCTGAAGTCCAGGTGTCAGCAGGGTACCTGCTCTGCAGGCCACCACAGGAGAGAATCTGCTCTGGCTGCTCTCTTTGCCATGCGGACGGCCCTCACCTCCCTCTGTCTCCTCACACTGTCTGTCTTCAAGTTCCTCTTCTCAGCGAGGACACCGGTCAAACTGCATTAGAGTCTACCCTAATGACGTCATCCTAACTTAAGTAATACCTACAACAACTCTTTGCAAAGAAGGCCACATTCCGGGGGCCCAGCAATTAGGACTTCAACTTACACATTTGAAGGGGACAGAATTCAATCCATAACAGCTTCCAAGACCTAGTAACTCTTTTCTTAAGCTATCTCCTGTAAATGCCCTCATATTAAGGTTCTTGTTTGGCACACCCCTACTCCTTCCTGCAACCACTTTTCTAATGTCTCCAACCTTCTCCTTCTCTTACTCCCTAACCCATTGCTTTGTTGTTGTTGTTGTTGCTTTTAAGATTTACTTACTTATTTGAAAAGCAGAGTTAAAGAGAGAAAGAGCAAGAGAGACTGGGAGATCTTTTATCCACTGCTTCACTTCCTAAATGTTCACAACGGTCAGGGCTAGGCCAGGCCTGAGTCACTAGCCTGGAACACCAACCAAGCTTCCTATGTGGGTGACAGGGGCCCAAGCATTTGGGCCATCCTCTTCTGCCTTCCCAGATGCAATAGCAGGGAACTGGATAGGAAGTGGAGCAGCCGGAACTTGAATCTGTGGTCTTTCGGGATGCTGGCATCACAGGTGGTGGCTTAGCTTGCTGTGTCACAAGGTGAGCCTTCTCGAGTTCATCTTTACACAGAAATGCGAGACTATTGTCCTGAAGTGCATTTTTCATTGTGTCATTCTCTTGCTCAAAAACCCTTTGGTGCTCCTCATTGTCTATCAAATAAGAACCAAGTCATAAAAACTAGACCTGTTTTCCTTGAAATTTCATTTTATTTTCCCATCTTTTCTACTCATTTTCTCAGTCCCAGAATTATCATATTTTTTATTGGTTTTATTTTTCCAACATCTGGAGATGTTAGGAGGGTCAGGGAGTAGACTAGAGGAGAATTTAGATTTTTTAGGATGAGAATGACAGAATGTGTTGGGGATGTGGCCCTCACATGCAGAGGGAACTGTATAAAGGGGCCTGGGGGCATAAACTATCTGAGCAAGCTTTGGGAAATAGAAGCAGAGCTAAATAGCTGGAGCAAACAGGGTTGCAAAATGAGGGAAAACACTGTCACACTGAAGAAGTTGATGGGACAGGAACTTGAACTTATGTAGGCTAGATAAATGACTTGGGCTTTTCCCTATAAGCAGATGGTTAGTAAATGGTTTCTAACCAAACTCCTTGACAGTGAATGGTTTCTCTTATTCACAATGGCACCCTCCCCAAGGCCCACAAGTGTGTCCAACACAGAGTAGGCTTAGTTTGCGATGATCCAAAAGCAAACTGAGACAAGAGCTTGACTGTGGCTAGTTTATGTGGGAGATGATCCCGGAAATCACAAATGAGGGGCAAGGAAAGTCAGTCAAAGAAGGAAGAAAAATCAGTAATGTTAGGCGTGCTGTTGAATAGGTGTCACTGTGGAGGACTGGGTGCAATCTGCCTGGGGACCCTTTGAAGAATATTGACTATTTCTCAGAGCTGTCCACTAAGGACTGGAATTTTTGCACTAAATTCAGCCATGTGCTGGTTGAGAGTTTTCTCTGGTGATGTTAAATCCCAGGTACGCTAGGACTATCTGTAGCACAGGTAAGGAAGTCCTCTGACTTTCCAGAAAACCCTCAACAGGAGTGCTGGGGCTTGTGGTGGGGAGGTGTTAGCAGGTGCAGGAACTGTCCACCTGCAGCTACAGTTGAAAGGAGATGCGAACCAGGAGACAAGGAGTGGGACACTCTCTGTGGGATCAGACATGCTCACTGGATCCAGACGCAGTGAAATTAAGGATAATGATTGAGAATGAAGGAGAAAAAGAGGCATAGGGGGAAATAATGAATTTGTGGGCAGTGGTTAACTGATGTAATGAGAACTGGGTACCAGTGAATATGATTGGATCAGTGCTGGGTTTAACTGTGTAGAGAGGAGAAGGCAAGCACAGCACCATGACTGGGTATCTGTGTTACCAAGAACTAGTTGCTGTGGCATAGCAGGTAAAGCTGCCACTTGGGACACCAGCAACCCATATGGGTTCCGGCTTGAGTCCTGGCTGCTCCTCTTCCAATCCAGCTCTATGCTAATGCTCCTGGGAAAGTAGTGGAAGATGGCCCAAGTATTTGGGATGTTGTATCCATGTGGGAGACCTGGAAGGAGCTCCTGGCTCCTGGCTTCAGTTTGGCCCAGCTCCAGCTGTTGCAGCTATTTGGGGAGTGAACCAGCAGATAGAAGATCTCTCTCTCTCTAACTCTGATTTTTAAATAAAATAATTAAAAAACCCCTAGTTGCTTAAATGGGTGAGATGTGGTGTGGCCAAGTCCCGATACCTTAGAGAAACACAGTCTTGATACCTGCCCATTGATTTACACCTGTGAGTACCCAGTGAGTACGAAAGTGCTTTCAGTGAGTGCTTTGCAAACAGAACATTCTGGTGTTTTGTTGGGCAGCAGCATACTTACTCTCTTTTAAGATTTAATGCTACCAGAAGCAAACTGGAAGGGCCACAAAAATGTTAAGTGCATGCACGCTTTGACTTTAGCACTGCTGTTTTTGATTCTTGGGGCCAGGCAGGATGAGTGGGACAGCCTTGGCAGGGCTGTATATCTGGAGGTAGAGACTCTCACCAAACAGCAGGATCCAGGCCTCTTTGGCATTGAGGTAGAAGGAATGATTGGAGACAAATAGAGTCCCGTCCCCATAACACGAAAGGCTGGACAACCAGACCACACCACTTGGCTGTGGGAAGGCTGCCTTTCCAAGTGTGGGTCTCCTTGACTTTCCCCACTTCAGGAATGGTCAGTGGGAGGAAAAGAGGACAGGAAGTAGTCCTCCATCAGCACCAAGAGATGTGCTCTCCTCCTGCCACCACTCTACCTTAGGAGGTTCTCGCCAAGTTCAGTTCCCACCCGTTCTGCCTCAAGACAAACTCACAGAAGAGTTTTGCATGAATATTCACTTTAATGATCTGGAGGTGGGTCGCTGGAGGACCGCCTCTTGGGAGAGCATGGGGCAGAGGCTTCACGTGAGGTCTCAGTCAGCGACAAGGTTGTGGCCCACAGTGGGAAGTGGCTCGAAGAAACCCTGTTTTACAACAAGAAGCAGCAAGGGATTTGAAGTCAGCGTGTGCCACATTGCCTTCCTCCCCCAATACTGCAATAACAGCCCAATTTGGATGAGACTAATGCAGTGACTCAGCCCACTGACTGACAGTCTGACCCCTTGGCTCCCACCTCCCACAGAGAGCTCCTCCTCCCTCTGTGATCCTCCCTTAGGCTGGGGCTGGAGAAAGATGGCAGTGCTGTTCCCGGAAGTGTCATGTTTGGATTCTCGGATGTGCCATGGCAACCAGTCGGCAAAGGCAGGCCTCTGCCACTTAGCTCTGATTATGTTGCCCCGGCAACCAACCCTGACTTAGGAAGCCTAGCTGCTACATTTTGGGTATGAGAAATGATTCCTTGAAGAGCAGAAGGGGCTGGGACCCCGAGGTGCGTCTGCCTCTAGATGGAGGACACAGCTGGGGGTGTGTGGTGCTCAGCTCAACCACCACTACCCAAGCCCAAGGCACCTCTCTCTCCCAGGAGAGGATATCAGCTCCTTACAGGCCTCTCAGGTCTTCTCATCACCCATTCTCCAGTATCACCAGGGCAGCCTTTTAAAATCATGTCTCACACTGTGACATCCCTTTCTGAAAGTTTCCTGGTTAACCTCCTACTGTGCCTAGCATAAGATCCAAGCTTTTGACCTTGGCCTCACTGTGAGGCCCTGTATGGTCAGCCCTGAGCCAGCGTCTCCAGTCTCATTTCCCTGCACTGACTTTTCTGCCTGTTTCTCTGATGTACTGTGGTTCTCTTGTCTCAGGGCATGTGTGGTTGCAAAACTCTGCCTAGGATGTCCTTCCAATCTGCCCCTGCCTGCCATCTTCTTATAATGTAAGGTTGAGGCCAAACTAAAAAGACCTTTTCAACATGGAGGAGTCTATTGTTTGGAACAATGTACTGTGCTCATTGGAAGCAGGGTGGAGGCTGTGCAGGGGAAAGACTGGGAATCAGACGACATGCAGCTCTGAGTAGGTCCCATGACCAGCCTGGGTCCCAGGTTCTCATCTATAGTGATAGATGGGAATGCTAGATGGATGCATATCAACTGGATTCTGAAGTGTTCAAACATCCCAAAGAGATGCCTCAGAGTCTTGCCCAGTGACTTGCCCAAGCTGCCAGAGTACAGGAAGCAGGAGGCTGAGAGTGAGGGCTCTGTTTTCCATTTATCCAAGGGAGCTTTGCTATCATTTTCTATAGGCAAGGGAGAATATGGTAGAAATGAGGAGCTTTTTCCTCTTATTTAGAAAACTCTGAGGTTTTCAATGACTTTTAAATTTTATTTATTTATTTGAGAGGAAGACATACACAGAGAGGGAGAAGGACAGAGGGAGAGTGAGGGAGGAAGGGAGGTAGAGAGAGAGAGAGAGAGAGAGAGACAGACAGACAGACAGACAGAGACAGAGAAAGCTCTCTTCCATCCATTCCCCAAAGAGCAGGAATGGTCCAGGCAGCTGAAGCCAAGAGCCAGGAACCCAATCCAGGCCTCCCACTAAGGGGGCAGGAACCCAATCACTGCTAACTCCTAAGATGTTCATTAACAGGAATCTGGAATCAGAACCCAGAGCCAGGCATTGAGTTCAGGCACTCTGATATGGAACCTGGGAGTCTTAACCAAATACCTGCCCACTCAATGCCTATTTTAAGCTCAACGCTGACTCATGATCTTAGATGTCATTTCTTCTTTAGGGACTCTCAGCACCTGTGTCATGCCTCATCCTCCACCTCTCAGAAGGACACATACAGGCAGATTCTAAGACAAACAGGAAAGTGGGGATACTCTGATTGGAAAAGGAAAGATCTTTTCTTCAGCTTACCTGTTATTGCCCTAATTCCCATTCCCTCCCTCATACCTGCCTCTCTCACTGAAACACATTGATTTCCCTAGCATCAGTTAGCCTCTCACCTTGACAGGGCTGGCCACCTCTCTTTTCAGGGCCTTTGAAGATACCTTGGAGGTAAAGCATTGTTCTTTGTTCATCTTGGCTACTGGGCTCTGTGGGGCGGGGAAGAAGCCAGTAATCAAGGATACAGAAAGGGTGAGAGAGCCCAAGAGGGAAAGCAATGGGATACGAGGTCGGGGATCCACAGTTCTTGGGAAGAGGCATGCATCTCACCTTGGGGAATAGGAGTCGAAGTTTATCCTCTTTCTTGCCCCTGAAGGAAACAGCAATGACAAACGAGACCCAGGCTTGCCAACACCCACTTCCCCTCCTTTTGTAGATACTGCCAATGGGTCATAGACTCATTCCCTACTGACCCCAGATGGGACCTTTGCATCATTCTTCTCCTACCACTACAAGTGGCTGCTACCTCCAGTTTTGGTGCCTGTTCAGTCCTTTCTCCAACTATCTGCCACACAGCATGGGCCAGTCATTGGCCTTACCTACCTCACTCCACTGGTTTTGGTGGGGAAGACTGCCTTCCCATCCTTCATGCATGGATCTTGGGGGTGGAGTCTGCTGATGTGTTCCATCTTCTGGGTCATCACATCCTGGGTGATGTCATCCTTCCAGAACAGACCTGCAGAATGAAGGATGGGTTGGACTGACACCTGGGACACCCTGATTCACCCACTTTAGGGACCAGGGGGACCTCTTCCCACATACATATTGGATCACATTTTTAAAATTTATTTGACAGATAGAGTTAGACAGTGAGAGTGAGAGACAGAAAGGTCTTCCTTCTGTTGGTTCACTCCCCAAATGGCTGCTATGGCTGGAGCTATACTGATCTGAAGCCAGGAGCCAGGTGCTTCCTCCTGGTCTCCCATGCAGGTGCAGGAGCCTAAGCATTTGGGCCATTCTTCACTGCCCTCCCGGGCCACAGCAGAGAGCTGGACTGAAGAGGAGCAACAAGGACTAGAACCAGTGCTCATATGGGATGCTCGTGCCGCAGGCAGAGGATTAACCAAGTGAGTCATGGCACTGGCCCTCAGATCACATTTTGTGGAAAGAATGTTATCATATAAAAGTTACTTACCACAGTGCTAGATATGTCCTATTGAATTGAGATTATAACAATAGTTTCTTGCTGATCCACTTGAGCAATTATGTGAAGATCAAATCAGCTTACAAATGTAAAGAGTGCTTAGAAAACTCTAAGGTGGTGGTTCTCATCTGAATCTCTTGCAAGCCTTATTAAAACATAGATTGCTGTTTCTCATACCCAGAGTTTCTGATGTAGTAGGTCTGGGGTGAAAATCAAGCTTTAGCACTTCCAATAATTTTCCCTGGTGGTGCTGATACTGCTGGTCCAGGATTCGCTTATAAGACTACTGCTCTAAGGCACTACACACACACACACACACACACACACACACACACGCATGCATGGCATTGGTAGTAACAATGTGAACTCAAAGCAGATTTCCTACTTCACTCTCCCTGACCCTCATTCATAAAACTGCTCTAAGGAAGAGTCAGCCATCTGTCTTAATGGACTCTCCACTGCCTTTTATCCTCTCCTCTATTTCTTATACAGTTTTCCCTGGTTCCTGCTCAGAGGGTGAAGTGTGAGCTCCCAGCAGAGAACTTGAGTCCTGGCTCTGGAAGAACTCAGTGTTGGGGATTGGGTCTAGGTCCTAAGGGGTTTCATGCTGGCCTCTTTTGGGGTTTCTTCTAGAAGTATCTTCATGGGCTCTTTAGTGTGTTCAAGGGCAAACAGCCCACCCATCCATACTCCACCTATATGCCTGTCTTACCCCCTCCTTCAGGAGGTGAGTAGGACAAAAAGTTTCAAGCAGAGACATTTGGGGAAAAGAAGTCCCATGATTAGTTCAGAGTCCCTCATTGCCATTTCCCCATATCTTTCCAGGTCTCAACCTCTGTTCTCTAGCTCTTACTTACCCTGGGGTACAATCTGCTGGAGTACAACTTGTAGGTGCCAGAAGACTGGAGTGGTGAATCCTTGGAGGGACCAGAGCTGCCCTGCTCCAACTTGGCCCTGACCATCTAAAGGCAAGATAGTGGTGTCAGCATGGAGTTTGGCCCAAAGCCTTCCAAATCCCAGTTGAAGCAGCTTCCCTCCACTGGTACTCTTGGAGCCCCTGGTCTCTTCTCCTCCCCTCCCCCACCTCACCAGGGCCCTTTTCTATCTTCAAGTCTTCATTTTTTTTCATTTCATTTTCTCATCTCCCACTACCACTTTTCTTGTTCTTCAGCCCTGAAGCCTCATTCAGCTTTGGGACCAACTTCCAGGTAAGAGCCATGTGCACGTAGAGCTGCCCATGGAGGGTCAGGTAAACAGAGGCTCAGAAAGCTACCCACATGGGACAGATAGATGGATAGATGGTTATGGGAGCCAGGTGAGTTTTATCTTTGAAGCCTGGGGGGAGGGGCGTTACAGAGGAGGATTGGAATCCTTAGAAAAACTTTATAGAAAATGTACGTTATGAGAAACTTATGCACAGATTTAAAAAAAATTCTGCACCCAAGTCATGTTTATATTTCAATCCCATTTTCCATGAACTCTTCTAAGTACCTTTGTCATCCCTCAATATCTTTAGGGAATTGCTTCCAGAGCCCCTTCCCTCCAATACTAAAATCCGTGGATGCTCAAGTCTGTCATGGAAAATGGCATTGTATTTGTATACAACCTGTGCAATGTTCCAATATGCTTTAAATCATCTCTTGATTATTTGTAATATCTAAGTATACAACATAAATGCTATGTAACTAGCTGTTAAAGTATTATTTAGGGAATAATGACAAGGAATATAGTTTCTTTAGCACAACAGCGATTTTTTCTTACATATTTTTCATTCACAGTTATTTGAATTCCCTAGTACGCGTAGGAGGGATGTGTGTTGCAATGTGAAGGGCAGTCCGTTTTTCTCTGTAGTGGAATTGTCTTGAGTTATTCTGGACACGTCTTAAGAAAAGACCTGATGGCTAATAATGTCCTGGAGCCTCCAGCACCCCGCCCAGAAGGGGAAAAGCTTCAGGAAAGGGAGATGGTACTATGACGCCGCGCTCCCAGTGCAGGCAGGAAAACGCGGAGGAGCCTTTGGCCGGACCCACAGCTTGGCTAGCGCTGTCCATGGTGCTGAGACGTGGCGGTGACGCGGAGCAGTAACGAGAGCTCGGCATCTCCGCGAGGCCCGGCTGTCCCCCGCTCCCTGTCTTCCATCTCCCCTCTGCCCCCGCGAAACCTCTGCTCTGGCCCCTAAACCCAAGAACCAGGATGGGAGACTCGACACGGCCCTTGGAGATTGGTCTCCGCCCTGCGCGCTCTCCGGAGTTCCAGCGTCTGCGCACTCCGGCTGCCGAGACCAGAGTCAGCGCGATGTCTTCTGCACAGCGCAGAGGCGGGGGTGGGGTGGGGGTGGTGCCTCTAGGCTGGGGGATGTTTTTCTCTTCTTATTGAAAATCGGATCACTGAACGCTGTCTCATCTGTCTGCCCGGGCTTCTCCCTGGAGCCAGGACCCTGACACCTGCTGATCAAGTCCATGACAACCTCACCGCCTTGGTCATCTCTTCTCTATCCTCGCCGGACGTCTCGCTTCTCCCGTGGTCACATAAGCCAGTTTTTACTTATCTCTGCCCATTTGACTTCCCGACCCCTTCCCAAAACCACACTCCCGGTAGGCGCGCCTCTTAGGTCCAGGGCCCCTAGGCTGAGCCCTACCCCAAGCCGCCGCCTCTTCGGGAGGAACTCTATGCGGATCTCTTCTCATCGCCCCAAACTTTCTTCCCCAGCCTCCTGGCCCCCGGCCCTGCCCACACCCCGTTTCCTCCTGACCGTGGGTGTTAACGTCGCCGCAGCCCCCGGGGCTGCTGTTCAGCAGGAGGAGGCCGACGAGCAGCCGCAGCCCCCCGGAGCCCCCAGACCTCAGCGGGCGCTGCATCCTCTCAGCTCGGCGCGCTCGCTCCTCCACCTAAGTCGCAGTGCAGGTGGCGACGGCGGCCGGAGGGGCTGAGCGGGGCGGTCGGTCGCTTCCCACCTGCCCGCCAGCGGCGCGGGATCTGCGTCGCCCTTCCCCGCGGCTCGGCCAATCGCGGCGGGCCTCGCCCCTGCGGACTCTTCCCCAACCCCTCCTTCTCCTTACAGCCTCCTGCGCTTGGCACCTCTCGCAATTTCTAGCCTTGCGCCCTTTTGGCGTCGGTCAGGCCCCAAAGACCACCGTCTCTACCCCTAGGCCCAGGGTTAGGGAAGCAGGTTCATGTGAGATGTGGGTGTGAATCGTACCTACCTCTTGGGCTTGCTGTGAGGATTCAATATGGACTGCGCGAGGAGAACAGCAGACTGTGAATTTAGTCAATTCTTACCCCTGATGCTTACCTCACCCTCACCTGCCTAAAAGCCTTTAGTAGGCATGTGGGTTCCATCTGGAAAATGTAGAGCACATCCACCCACTTTTTTCCATGTGCAGCACCGTCACCCTGGGTCCAGACCACTGTGCCCTTTAAAATATTTCTTTATTTTCATTTTATTTGAAACACAAAGAGACAGCTTCCATCCGCTGGTTCATTCCCCAAACGCCAGCAGCAGCCCAGGGCTGGGGCAGGGTCCAGCGGAAGCCAGGAGCCCAGGGAACTCCACTGGAGCATCAGCAGGGAGCTGGAGCAGAAGTGGAACAGTGAGGACTGGAACCAGCACTCACATGGAATGGTATGATGCCAGAGTCACAGGGTGGTTTAACCTACTGTGCCACAAGGCCAGCCTCTTCATAGAGCCCTTACAAAAAGTAACTGGCTGGGGCTGGTGCTGTGGTGGAGTGGCTAAAGTTGCCACCTGCATTGCCGGCATCCCATATGGGCACCAGTTCGAGTCCTAGCTGTTCCACTTCCGATCCAGCTCTCTGCTATGGCTTGGGATAGCAGTAGAAGATGGTCCAACTTCTTGGGCCCCTGCACCCACATGGGAGACCTGGAGGAAGCTCCTGGCTCCTGGCTTCTGATAGGTGCAGCTCTGGCCGTTGCTGTCAATTAGGGAGACTTTCTCTCCCTCTCTCTCTCTCTCTCTCTCTCCCTCTCTCTCTCTCTCTCACCTTCTTTGACTTTCAAATAAATAAATAAATCTTTTAAAAAATAAAAGTACCTAGCTAAGGAACTGCTTATTTATCCCTGTGTATTGGTAAGCTAGTGTATGAGCTTTCAAACCTGCCACTTTAATGTAGTTCTCTGTTGTATACTGAACACTTAGGGTTGATACATTGTGGAGACTGAGTTACATTAGCCTTCCTTAAAGGCTGTTGGGTTTGTTCTGGCAGGAAATTCCATTTAGGGCAGAAAATCTGAATCCTGAAGAAGCCTGATTAAGGTAGGAATATTTCAGTTATGCTCTTTTTGTTTATTTATTTTTTTTGACAGGCAGAGTGGACAGTGAGAGAGAGAGAAAGGTCTTCCTTTGCCGTTCACCCTCCAATGGCCACCGTGGCCAACACACTGCGGCCGGCGCATCACGCTGATCCGAAGGCAGGAGCCAGGTGCTTATCCTGGTCTCCCATGCGGGTGCAGGGCCCAAGGACTTGGGCCATCCTCTACTGCACTCCTGGGCCATAGCAGAGAGCTGGACTGGAAGAGGAGCAACCGGGACAGAATCTGGCACCCCGACTGGGACTAGAACCCGGTGTGCCGGCGCCGCTAGGTGGAGGATTAGCCTGTTGAGCCACGGCGCCGGCCTGGACATGCTGTTTTAAAATGATTTACAGAAATAATTTGAAGCCCAGGAGCAACAGAGTGTGAATGTGCTTTGAGAAGAACAATGTTCTGGGAAAAAGGGACAAAGGGGCTTTTGGCGTGGGCTAAGCAAAGGGGAGTTGATCGTCTTTCCCCTTTCCGATTTCAAGCTCCCTGGGGCACTGCTGTCAGAAGGATGTGTGCACACGTGCACTGACATTGAATTTCTCCCTGCTGTTCTTTGCCAAGGAGGAGGGGGAGGGATTCTGATGCAGATGGTAACACCCTCAGATGGCCAAGACCTGGGGTTCACAGGGAGGCACTTCCTTTCCCAAGGAGGAAAAGACTACAGCAGAGCAGGGCTGGAGGGCAGCAGACGAGGAAAGGTTGGGGTCCAGCCTTGCATCCACGTTGTGCACGATGTCTCTAAGGAGAAGGGGAGTCGGTGCCCAGGAGCTCTGCTATCCCATGCCCCCTCCCCAAATGTCCCCTCTGTGCTGGCCTTATACATTTTACTTCCGAGGCTTTGGTTGGGGTCCATGGACCTGCTTCCAGGCAACCCTACACAAAGAATATCTGCAAAAACCCACTCTCAAACTGCAGTCCCAGGTGGTCCTAGGGTAATAGGGGGAGGGCAGGGAGGTCTCAACCTACTAGAAAGCTTTGCTTAGAGAAGGAAACAGCATGAGGAAGCTCTAAAGGGAGTTGAAAATGGGATTTGGAGTTTGTGTGTCTATGTGCCAGGGGCTTTGCCCTCCAACATGTCTGTTTCCCCCCACCCAATACACCACAGGCTGTAGTAGCAGTCTTGATCTGGGCCCTTCTTGAGTGACGGTGACTCAGCAACTACCTGATGGCCAACCTCCCCCGGCTCCTGTGTCGTGATCTGCTCTCCCTCTGCGATTTTCCCTTAGGTACAAGGACACTGAGCCTGGAGAAGAATGGGAGGTTCTTGTCTGCCTACTTGGTAGCACCATGGCAACCAGTTCTCACTGTAGAGATCAGTCACTCAGTGTGATGATGTCACTGCAGTGACCAATCCAGGCAAAGAGGCACAGCTGCCGTGGTGACAGGAGTCAGAAGCAGTTTCCTTGGAAGGCACAAGGCTCTGGAGCCCCCTGAGGTTCAGGCTACCTGTGGGCAGAATGCACAGCCACGTGCTCAGCTCCACACCCACTGCCTGGTTCAATCCCCCACAGTCTATCCTGGACTAAGACACTACTTCCTAACAGTGCTGTGGGTTTCACTCTCACTTCAATCAATACATTCTTCAACAATTCATGGGAGTCTTTTTTTTTTTTTTGAAGATTTATTTTTATTTATTTGAAAGAGTCACAGAGAGAGGTAGAGGCAGAGAGAGGGAGGAGTCTTCTATCCACTTGTTCACTCCCAAAATGACTGCAGCGGCCAGAACTGAGCTGATCTGAAGCCAGGAGCCAGGAGCTTCTTCCAGTTTTCCCACATGGGTGCATGGGCCTAAGGACTTGGGCCATCTTCTACTGCTTTCCCAGGCCATACTAGAGAGAGATGGATTTGAAGTGGTGCAACCGAGACTCAAACTGGCAACCATATGGGATGCTGGTGCTGCAGGCCAGGGCTTTAACCCACTGTGCTGTAGTGCCAGCCCCACACAGTAGTATTTTGAAATGGGTCATGACATTATTCTCTTACCTTCCTTAGAATTCCCAGTAAGCTTTGTTTGTTTGTTTGCCTAAGTATTTTCATAAGATCTGGACCCTTTGCTATTCCCTGTGAGACCCTATGTGGTCAGTTTTGGGCTTACTGTTCCAGCCACATCTCCCACCTCTGACTGTTCTGCTGGTTCCTCTGATGTGCCACATGAGAACTGATAAATGCACAATAAAAGCCCACGGAATGAGCCTAATAGCAGGATGGGAATGACAGAAGTCATTTAACTTGAGGATGCATCCGTAGACGTTACCCAGACAAGGAACAGGCAGTTAGTCTAGCGAAGACACCTGGGTTTTCTATCAGAGTGCCTGGGTTCATTTCCTGGCTCCAGATCCTAACTCCAGTTTCCTGCTGATGCAGACCCTGGGAGGCTGTGGCGATGGCTCAAGTAATTGGGTTCCAGCCACCTATGTGGGAGATCTGGATTGAAGCTCCTGACTTCTGGTCGAGTCCAGCTCTGGCTATCGTAAACATTTGGGGAGTGAATCAGATGAGAGTTCTCTCTGTCCCCCTGTCTGTGTTGTTCAAATAAATAAGTGAAGAAAGAGAAATGATTTGATCAGAAAACATTCAGGAAAACAGTTAATAGGGCCTTGGACACCTATGAAACAATATGAAAACTTTAAATTTATGTTGTTGGAATTTAAAAAATGATAGGAGAAAGACTGTAACACACACACAATTAAGCAGATAATGGCTAAAAAATTCCAAAATTTTTCAAAAATACAGAAACCTACAGATTCAGAAATCCATGTGAATGCCAAGCAGGATAATCCCCAAGATATCCAGATTCCAACACATCATCATCTCAAAACAAAGGAAAATCTTAACACATTGCTTAAAGGAAAGCACTGGCCTTTTTTAAGATTTATTTTTTTATTTGAAAGACAGAATTGCAGATAGAGGGGGAGAGAGAGAGAGAGACATGGGTGCAGGGCCCAAGCACTTGGGCCATCTTCCACTGGTTTCCCAGGTGCATTAGCTGGGAGCTGGGTTGGAAGTGGAGCAGCCAGGACTCCAATTGGCACCCATATGGGATGATGGTATTGCAGGCTGCACCACAATGCTGGCCTTGAAAACAGTGTTTTATTTTAAACCATGGCAACCAGAAGTAAGTGGAATAACACTTTTCTTAATATTTATGTTTATTTATTTGAAAGGGAGAGTGACAGAAAGGGAGAGGTCTTTCATCCACTGCTTCACTCCCCAAATGGCCATAACAGCCAGGTCTGGGTCATACTGGAGTCAGGAGCCAAGAACTCTCCTGATCTCTCCTGTCGGTGGCAGGGACTGAACTCCTTAGGCTGTCATCTGCAGTCTTCCCAGGAACATTAGCAGACAGCTGGATGGGAAGTAGAGCATACAGGACTCAAACTGGTGCTCTCACATCGCAGGCTGTGGCTTAACCTGCTGTGCCACCACACCAGCCCCTGGAATAACATTGTTAAAGTGGTGAAAAAAAGGAGCTGCCAACCCCAGATTCCATATCCAGTGAAAATGCACTCAGCAGTGAAGGTGAAATAAAGGCACTCTGAGATGGGAAAAGCTAAGATAATTCCATGCCCACAGAGACATCAGGAACAAAGGAAGAGCAATAAATGTGGCCAAGGCTCTGGGGTGCAGTGGGCTAAGTCCCCTGGCTTACAATGCCAGCATCCCATGTCAGAGGCATGGTT